AATATATTTTAAAACTCAGGAAAGGGAAATAAAGTATGTCCACCTTTGCTCTTGTCAGAAAACCATTAATCCTGGACCAAAAAAAAAAGAAAAAGAAAACAGCAATTCCTTTGAAAAAAAATTTATGTTTTCTTGAGCCCACTGTTGGGTTAATCCTATTGTAAATGTCATGCCCCAGGTGAAATGTAACTTGTCTCTGAAGCTGCCTGGCTTCAGAATACCCTGAAATTCAGAGGCAGGTTTTCTTAGCCCTACAACCTTTAGATGGCATAGCCTGTGTTGTCATCAGTACATTATAATAATTTACTTATACACTATCTTCTCTTGGATCCAGTTTTCATTTGCTTTACTCTGTTTGACTTAAATTCTGAATCAAAACAAGTTTTCAGTAGGTTCATTGAGAGTGAAAAGTTTATCTATGTATATTCCAGCCCACTCTAATTATTTTTCTTCTTGTCTTGCTGTTAGAAATTGATTTTATATATCCAGATAACAAATTCATCAAAGAAATGTGATATATATATATATATTTTAAAGATTTTATTTATTTATTTGAGACAGAGAGCATGAGAGGGAAGAAGGTCAGAGGGAGAAGCAGACTCCCTGCCGAGCAGGGAGCCCGATGCGGGACTCGATCCCGGGACTCCAGGATCATGACCTGAGCCGAAGGCAGTCGCTTAACCAACTGAGCCACCCAGGCGCCCAGAAATGTGATATATTTATCAAGCATACCAAAAGCTGCTTCTTCAAACTGCTTCGCGATGAGCTACTCCTCACCTGTTGAATTGATCATTACGATGCTACCAATTTGTGCAGGGATTAGAGACAGCAGATTGCCCCCTATCTACAGCAGATCATTTCTACAAGGCAGCAAGCAGAGTGATAAAAACCAGTAATTCTCAACAAAACTTCTGCATCTCAATTTCAAAAGCTTGCTGGACACATACATGAAAATGTGTTGTGAACAACAGTACGCAAAGATAGTACAAACAACTCCGAGCACTTATATATATTCATCTTAGTACTCAAGAAAATTGTTCGCTTTCTCTGTTCACATTTGCAAATAGATGCAGGTGGACAGGAATGTACAAGGTTCCACACCACACACTTTGCACTTGGGTGTAACTCAATTTGTTAGACACTGTAATTTACATTTTAAAAATTATTTAACACTAAACATAAAAATTTGTCACCTTGGCGTTATAATTATACCCTAAGCAATTTGTCTGAGTAACTATAGCAACAGTTTCAGAAGCACTTTTAAGTACCACTTTGGTATAATTTTAGAATCAATAATTATGAAGGATTCGCTGCAGGATGTAAGACTACTTTTCTCAAACACTGGTACCTACACTGCTATAGAACTGGACTCCTTGACTCAAACATAAACTAATTAATCTGTTCTATCTTACAAACTATGTGATTTGCAAGGCAAACCTTCTCGTTGGGATTATATTCTTCTCTTAGCTATTTCTAGAGTTCACGATTACATGTTTATATAATGGAACGCCTCTATACCTTTGGCTGGCCATTTAGCAAAGTTCTGTTTCCCCCTCCCCCACCTTGCTGTCTTTTTATCAGAAGCAAAGCCTCAATTTCAATGATTTTGTAACAAAAAAGACATTTGGAATCACTCAAAATAATTATCAAGTTAATAAAGACTGTGCAGGGGTTCAATTAAGCAGCTCTAACTTGAGCAGCATTCAACATAGTCCCAAGGAGCTGGCGGACGACACAAAGAAAAGTTTTGCGGTTTTAACATTTGTGTACAATGTCTACAACACAGTCTAAAGTGCCTCTCAAGCAAAATTTCTCACTGCAAAGCCATGGATTGGCCTTCAGAAGGTTTGTGTACCCTCTAAAGCTTAAGCAAAAGCTTACATTGATGTGCGTATATTTATTATGGTCCCACAGCCAACAACTTTGAACAGCCACTGCACTCAATGTTTCTATGTTTTTCCGTCCAGACATGGTGAAGAAATCGTTGTAAAAGGAAGCGGCAGTGAAGAATGCAGGTTTATTTTTACCGAATTCTGCACATCTCAAAAACTTCTTTTGGACAGACACAAGTTTTACCACCCAGGAGACTAAAGTCTTTGCTCGCAGCAGGGCTCTTGCAGCTGTTCGCCACTAAAACAACCAAATAAGTTCGGGCGATTCACAAAAGGCATAAAATGATTAGCACCACCCATTTTTCTCCCTATTAAGGCAAGTATGGATAGGCTAAAAGCATGTAAAAGCAGGTACCAGTTATCACCCTGGGGCCCATGAGTGTGCAAATGACTAGGTGACCTTTGCAACATCATGGATGAGGGGCTATTTTGTGGCAAAGTTTTTACAAGAAAGAACCACAAGGAAAAGAAATCTGTTTCAAGTGGCCCAGACAATTACATCTTGGGCTGCTTTTTCTTTTCAAACAAAAATGAAAAATGGTTGGGATTAAAAAAAAAATCCATCTTTCCTTTGGTAAACACAGGCATAGATGAGAAAAGTTGTTTCAGTGATACACAGCTTAAGGTATTATCTCCTTGAACTGAAATTGTGAACTGATCACTCAAAGTAGTGCATGATAAACATTACCCCTTCTTCAATAATAAAATTGGCACAATCAGCAATTAACTTAGCAATCCTAATTAGGTGTTAAAAATCTTCCCTAGTAAAGACTGTTCTTGTCTTTATGTGTCTTCTTAGGAAATACTAACTGTAAAATTAATAACGTATCTGCTTTTTCCAAAATTGGCCATTATGAGGGAGCTCTTCTGGATAAGCTGAGACATACGATTGTTTTTCTTAAAAACACGGTGCAACAGGGCGCCTGAGTGGCTCAATCGTTAAGCGTCTGCCTTCAGCTCAGGTCATGATCCCGGGGTCCTGGGATCGAGCCCCGCATCGGGCTCCCTGCTCCGCGGGAAGCCCGCTTCTCCCTCTCTCACTCCCCCTGCTTGTGTTCCCTCTCTCGCTGTGTCTCTCTCTGTCAAATAAATAAATAAAATCTTTAAAAAAAAAAAAACAAGGTGCAACAACCATTTGTAACTCCTGGCATTTTAACTAATGTGCTCCTGAGGAGCAAAGTCTTGTCAATATTAAACATAAGTCACATTATTATTATTGTTGTTGTTGTTATTTATTTTTTAGTAAATACTCACAAGGAGGAAGACATAGGCATAAACAGGAAGAATTTGCAGGGATACGTTTGTCTCTGGAAGGAACCTTTATCTAGACCACTTGTGTTTGGCAACCACCTTTCCTGTCCCTTCTCTTAGCAAGGCTGACAGCTCCCCCCGGGTTAACGGATCAGCTCCCCCCACCCTCCACCCCTACGAAATCATTGCCAAGATCTGCCTGGTCCCGTTGTTTGCTGACTAGGACCCCCACCCACTCACCCAGGACAGAGAAACTGCTCTTAGCATCCTTTCTCCCACTTCCAGCGCTCGCTCTCAGCGCCCCCTGCCGGCAATCCCCGGGCCGCCGCAGGCGCAGGAAAGTTAAATCCCAACTCTGAGCCGCCGCATCCAGGTACAAAGCAAGAAAAGGGCGAGGAGGTAAACGCGCTTCCCGCCAAAGCCCTGGGAATCCGGATCTGACTGCGGTAAGCCCGACACTGGGCGCCGCGGGAAGCGAGCCCACTCCACTCCTTGGCGACAGTTTCCCCGCACATCTCAAGAAGACCAGTTCCCTCGGGGGCCCAAATGTGCCTCCGGCCCCGAAACCCTGATCCAGGGGATGCGAAACCGTGCAGCCCGCGGAAAGCGACTCGCCTGGCTGCAACCCATCAGGCGGCCCCGAGCCCCAGCATCCCCAGCCTCATTCTCCCTCATTAACCAAAGCGCTTGGAGGAGTTGAGCCCAAGTCCCACTGCCTCCCGGTTTCTCACGAGCACCGCAAAACCCCTGTAACTCAAAGAGGAAAACCTGCCCCAGCCGGCGGGGCCGCGAAGCCCAAGCCATCGCGACCCGGTGCATCGCTCCCGACTGTGCTCCTGGACGCGCGCCCGGTGCGCGCACAAAGCCCCAGTGCGCACCTTCCCGAGGTGCTGGGTAGGGGTCCCGCCTCGCCCACCACCAGGTCGCCCACCGCGTCGCTTCCGCTCCTTACCTCGGCACGCTCCGACCTCGGCAAAGACAGGGACACAAACTTCCAGCCCGTGCACTAGCTCAACTGTGGGTGCCCCGCACGGAGGGTAGTCCTAATCCTGTACGCGCATCCACCGGCTGTCCCCCGCCCAGTGCCTGCGGATCGACCCTGCCTGAGATCGTCACGACCCACCCGCCGACCACTGCCGCCCCCGGGTCGCGGCCAAGCAACGCGGCACGGTCGGGGCTGCGGCCACGGCCACGCGGGGGCCGGGCGGGGGTCTCTCACCAGGTGCGAGGCGCGCTCCTCTTGCCAATCATCCAGCGCCTGGGGCCCCGGAGCAGCTCTGAGGGTCCTCTTCAGTGCACCGGCGAGGGAAGTCGAGGCAGCGGCCGCGGTCGCCCCCTGCCACTTCCCCAGAGCCACCCGCCACTCGCTGCGCTCCGGGCTGGGGACGTCGGTTTGAGCACCAGGCGCACCGTTCCCGGGCGCGCAGCCGGGCCGGGGGTGAGCAGGTTCGCGCCCAGCGGGGGCGACGGACCAGGAAAGGCAAAGTTGGGTGCCGGAGCCAGCTGCAAAAGGGAGCCACGGGTAGGAGAGGGGAGCCCCCGGGAAGGGCCACACGCGCCAGGCCGCCCCCGGCGGAGGGCGAGAGCCGCCACCGGGCACGGGCCGCGGCCGGCAGGGGCTGCGGAGCCCACCCGCGGTGGGAGGACAGCGCGCGGGAGCGGGCGGAGAGAAAGCAGCCGCCGCCGGCGCCGCCTTCCCGGCGAGTAGAGCTGCGCGGGGAGCGCGGGCCCGGAGCGCGGGGCGGGGAGCGCGGGGCCGCCTCGCCCCGCCCCCGCCCCGCCCCCTGCCCCGCCTCCGCCGCCGCACCTCCTACTCCCCTCCCAGCCCGGGTGAAACCCGAACGCCCCACCCCGCGCCTGACCTCCCTGGGCCACGCCCCCGACACTGCCCTTCCCGGGACGGGACCCCCCTCTCCGCGCCCGGGCGCCCCCCGCACCCCAGGAGCCCCGCTCCTTCCTTCGTGCGAGTGCGCCCGAGCGTTGCCTTTCGGGGACTCCCTCTCCCCGACCTCGCAGAGACCTGCTGTGGCTCCCCCGCCCCCCCATCCGGCAGCTCAGACGTGGCTGCTGGGGGGTGGGGTGGGGGGAGGAGGGCGCGGTATAAAGGGCCGGAGGCTGCGCGGGCCGAGACCCGAGACGTGGCGCGCCCACCCTACCGGCCTCATCTTCAGGTACGTGCGCGTCCCCCGGCCGAATCTGGCCGTGTGGGGGGGGTGGGTAGGGGCCGCCGGGGCCTCCTGGACTCCGAGTTTGTGATTTTGTTCGTCTTGTGTGACATCCACATGCGTGCTCTGAGCTGGAAACTCCTAAAAGACGGAGAGAGTTGCTTCGGGGTTTTGGAGGAGCTGTTTTAGGGTGCACCTCCCCGCTAGGTCGGCTGGATTTCAGTGGAAAGAAGTTAGAGAATGAACAAATCGACCAAGCAAGTGAGGCAAGTCAGGGGGTCCCCATGTAGCCACGCTGAGCGTTAAGAAAGGAACCCTGGGACGGACAAAGTCAGCTTGTCCAGTTCTGGACTAAATGTTACTTGTTGCGCTTTTGCCGGATCTTTTCGGCCTCATGGAGCAAGTATTAAAGTGAAAAGAGTCATAATTGGAAAGCATAGTAGCCTTCAAGACGCCTAGAATTTCATACTTTGTTGCAAAACTTCCGTTTGGAACCTGAAGGGCAGCGCATGACCCTTTCCCTCTGGATGGAGGTGGGGAACGCTACCCCGGGCCCTTTTTTCCTCTATCTCGGCCTCCGAGAGTGGCTTTCAGGTTTCCCTTGAATAAGGGAAGGCATGAACACCCCCACCGCCGTCCTCTCTTACCGCAGTGACATGGCCCGCAGTGACAAAACCGCTCGAGTGTCCGGTTCTTGGGATCTGTCACACCGGGAAGGGCCCAGTGTGCCCTAACTGTGCCATTGAGCCCGTCTATAAAACAAGAAACACGCGTCCCTGGCTGGAAGGTGTCATGGCTCACACAATAACCACGCAGATCCAAGAGGAGGACAGTAGAAATACAAAGTGATGTTGGTTTGCCTTTATAGTCTTTGTAGGATATTTCCAAATGAAGTATTCTTATATAGAAGAACTAAATAAAAGCAGTTCTGAAGGTTTGCATGGAAGGAAGCCCAGCCCCAAGCCTCCAGTTTCTCTCTCTCACTAGTGTTGGAGCTGCTGGGGGTACTCAAGGCCCCACTCGGATTTCCTGTAAGACATCCAGGGGAAATGTCAGTGTCCGAGGGCTTCTTTGTAGAAGCATTCTTCCCTGGGTTGTGCTGGGGGCACTCAGCCTGGTGCAGGGCAGCTGCCTGGTTCCTAGAGCCTTCATGAAAAGCTTAACACTTCTTCCTTCTGTGCCTGGCACTCGGGACACTAGCTCCTTCCCGACATTCCCATTGATTCTTCTGCCTATGTGGCACAAGGCCTAGGGGCACTTCCTGGGTGGAGGAGGCTGGCCAAGGTCTAGCCTTGCTGCTTTGCTCCTGCGGAGCTGGGGGGAAGGGAGGGAGGACTCTGCCATACACTTGACCTTGCAGCCCTTGAGTGAGTGGGCTGACCTGTGGAGCCTCCAGCCACCAGGAAAAAGGGAGGCAGAAATTAGGACCCAAATGCGTTTAGCTAATTCTTGTCATTGCCCTCAACATTATGGTTAAAGGCATGTACACTTAAAAAAAAAAAAAAAAATTATTGGCACATTGAGACTTAAGCATTGGGAAGAAAATAGCTTTTTATGTCATAACCCAGGAGGGATCATAACATAATGTTTAATATGTAACTTTATGTATATGCGGGGGGGGGGTCAATTTTACAGGCAACCTACAGGCTATAAGGAAGCATTGTTAAAATACATATATTTCCTGATAATGAATTACAAACAGTTGACAAGAATGAGATGGGGGGGAGACCCAAATAATAATTCAGAGTGCATCCTTAAAGTGAAATAAACCCAAACTGAGGGCATGATTTCACCTTATAATCTGGGGAAAGCTCCTTTATTTTTCTGAGCTGGTCTTTTCATCTGGAGCTTGAACCAACCTGCTGGCAAATGAGTCTTTGCTTAGCATGAAGGAGATAGGAGGTGAGGTGAGACCCTCGCCAGGGCTCAGCACAGAAACAGGCTCTTTACAAATAAAATTATTTTAAAGAATCCACAGATGTTTCCTTTTCCCAAATGAAATTTCTGTTTGTTTTTTTTTTTTCTTTGAGAAGCCGTCCCTCACTGAAGGTCTTCCTCCTACACTGGGCTGCTTCTCATCACATTACAAAACTAGAGGTGATAATTTCAAAACAAAACTGTTTAGTTCTCTTCTTTTCAAGATAAAATTATAGCTCTCCCCAAACAGTTTCTGATGAGCCAGGCACATAATGTAAACAAAACGAGAAACCCAGCCAAACACTCGGTGAAAATGATGAACCCTGGGGCGCTGATTCATGTGACTTGAGAAACGCCATCCATTTCCTGATTCACCTTAATTTCTGCATGGAGATAGGAGGGATCTTATGTCTCCAAGATAAGTAACCAGTTTTGTCTCATCTTTCCCTCCCTCCCTCCCTTACGATTGAATTCCAGCCACATCGCTCATGACATTGCCAACTCAGCGGAGCAGAGCCCGGAGGGGCTGGAGAGACCACCACCACCACCCAGGAGAGGTGAAGAAGCCGCTGTAGGTCAGGAGTGCCCTCAGAGGGAACCCTGGATATTTGTGATCTTTAATGACTGGACGAGATTGTATTAACAACATGAAAGATCTCAGTCCAGAAATCGTGGCCTCTGGGCATTTACATCTTAAACCAGATTTTCGTACAGATGAGCCAGGAGACACATCACAGTCATCAACCACAAATGTTCTCTTGCTCTCGTTTTCCTTCTTTTAGATCTGTGGCATTTAAGAATTAATAAAACTGCTAGATCAACAACCCCATCCGTTTTTGTCTTTAGATGGCCAAACATGGGTAAAAAGATGTGCCATTTTATGAAAATTGCCTAGGCTGCTTTCCGTTCATATTTTAAGTATTGAAAGACCCATGAATATGGCTACAGATGATGCAAACCTAAGTTTTGACAGATGAAGAATCATCAAGTGGGGAGAGTTCAGGGAGCCTTCAGCCCGGACTCAAGTCCCTGGTGCTTTACCAGAAGCTCTTTCAGGTCCTTTTACCCAAGAAAGGCTCACCGCCCCCCTTCAGCGTAGCTGCCCACTCCCCTGGCAGAGGTAAGCAGGCCAGTGTTGCTCAAAAAGAGCGGCCCGCTGGGCGCCTGGGAGGCTCAGATGGTTAAGTGTCTGCCTTCGGCTCAGGTCATGATCTCAGGGTCGTGGGATCAAGCCCCCCACCCTGCGTCCCTACCCTGCCTAGGGCTTCCTGCTCAGCAGGGAGCCTGCTTCTCCCTCTGCCCCTCCCCCTCCCCCGTTCCTTCTCTCTCTCTCTCTCTCTCTCTCTCTCAAATAAATAAAATCTTCAAAAAAGAAAAACACCTCATAGCCACATTCAGGGGAGCAGCCTGCTTAAAGCCCACCCAGTAGGACTGCAGCCAAAGCTGAAGGTTAACAACAGCCAGAGCATACATTCAGCAAGAAGTGCTCACCTATTTTTTACTTAGAAAGTTTAGTAATTAATCTCATTTCCAGTTAGGACCTATTAACAAAAGACATTGCATTTTACTCTAGATCTAAGTGGTCTAGAAATCTGGAAGTATTTTTGCCTTTTCTTTGTGGTTAAATTTCTAGCAACCCAATTTCTGCAAAAAAGTATATAAAAAAAAATCTGTGCTCAAAACACCTCAAGTCATCTTTTTATAAGTATAGTATGGAGAGAGGGAAAATGCTAGGTTGAAAAGACTTTTGGAATACCTAGAGGAAATGCGGATGATTTGTGGCATGGAAAGAAACATCTGTATGGTTCCCTAAGTGTCATTTTCTGACATTGGGCCTTGTATATATCTTGAGTGTCTATAAGCAAACAATGGCTGTACTTTAATCAATGTCCTCTATATTCCTCTGTCTTTGGAAATAGAGCTTTGGGGGAAAATAAGTCCCTTTGGAAATATAGTTTCAAAAATAACGTTAGTCCAACGTAGATTTAGAAATAAAATACAAATTCATCTGCCTTTGTTTATGCCATCATTTACCAGGGAGATTAACTCATAATGACCTTGAGTTCAATGAAAAGAATATCTACTAAGTGAAATTAAGCCAGTAGGCAAAGTGTCTCCTGAAGCAAATCAGTGAGAAGACGCACTGTCAAGGGTCCTGTCCCCCATCTGTCAATCTCATTTCAGACCCTTCCTTTCATTCCCATTGCTGTCGCCTTAATTCAGAATGTCAGCCTCTCACCCCAAATCCCAGCACCTCATACTGGTTTCCTTGCCACTCCAGGTCCATAGCATACACCACAGTACTCATCCCCAAACAGCAATCCACATTGTCCTTGATAACACAGACCTCCTGATTTTATTGGAATTGCAAGCTGCCTAGCTTAAAAAAAAAAAAAAAAAAAAAATTCTTGAAGCTAGGTGAGACCATTGAACCTAGCTGCGACAAATACGATGCAGTTCCAAGAAAGGCTTTATAGAGGGGCACCTGGGAGTCTCAGTCGGTTAAGCGGCTGCCTTCGGCTCGGGTCATGATCCCAGGGTTCTGGGACTGAGGCCTGCGTCGGGCTCCTTCCTCAGCGGGGAGCCTGCTTCTCCCTCTCCGTCTGCCTGCCGCTCCACCTGCTTGTGCTCTCCCTCTATCTCTGTCAAATAAATAAATAAAATCTTAAAAAAAAAAAAAAAAAAAAAAGAAAGGCTTCATAGAAGAGCCCAAGGTCTAACAGCACGATCTTTCTTGCCCTTTCCTCTCACTTCCGATTCCTGCCTGGAACTTGATTGTGGTGGCTAAAGTTCCAGCCACCATCTTGAATTGCAAAATAACCTTGATAATTCAAGCCAGGAGACAAAGATAGTAGAGCTAAAAAATAGAGCCTAAATCCCCAGTGACCCTATGAAGCCTCCATCTCAGCCTGGGATTGCCTATCCCCAGACTTCACAAGGTGAGAAAGAAAGAACTCTCCCTTTTGTTTACCCATCATGTTTCTGTTCAGGATTTATCAGGAGAATGCAATTCCTGACTGACAGAAGATAGAAGGCTCTTCCAGATCCAGCATCCCTGCAGCTTCATCTCAACGTCACTGCCCCTGCTGTCCTCCCTCCTACCCTCCCTCATTCTCTGCTTTCCCTCCTTCTGCCACGTTTGGTGCACAGCATGTGCCTAGCACTCAGCTGTACTTTAAGAATAGAATGGAGAGAAACAGAGAAGATTCCTGCCCTTTTAGGACAGACGTCATTGAAAAGGTGGCATTTGAGCTGGCATTTAAAGGATGATTAGTGACTAATGAGAAAATGGGAAGGGGGTCCTTTAGGGGAAGAGAGTGAGATCCAAGGAAGAGTGGCAATATCAACTTTAGAATTTAACTCAAACACACTTGTTAAAATGCCAGGGATAGTAATAGTAATCGCAAAAGAATAACAATAGGTACAATCTTTAATTAAACAGTAGAAAGGAAAAAAGATGAAATAAAGACAATTTGATCAAGCTAGTAGAAGGCTGGAAAGAGAAAGAAGACAGAAATGGAAAGAAAATCATAGAGAAGAACTAGAAGAAATTAGTAACCATAGAAGAAAGCAGAGTAGAACAATGAGAAAAAAATACATGAGGCAAATATCAGTCAAAATAAAGCTAGTTTACAAACACTAACATCAGAAAAACAGATTCTAAGATGAAAATCTTTTTCAGTAAAAATATTCACCACAGAAAAATATTCAGTTCATTAAGAAACACAAACATGTATGCAACTAACAAAATAGTTTCAAAATATAAAAGGTAAAAATCTACAGAATGATTAGGAAAATTAACAAATCTACAATCTTTGACTATAGGAAGCACATTCCTATCACTGATAAATCCCTAGGGGAAAAAATAGTAAGAATTTAGATATCCTAAGAAAAGCAATTAGCAAGGTTATTCTAATGGAAATATTAAATGATCAGGCAAGATTTACAAAAATTAAGGAAGTCTGGGGCCACAAAGCAAGCCTCAGTGAATTTTGAATAATCAGTATCATTAGGATTAGGTTACAAACTAATAATTTAAAAAATAATTTCATAAACTTCACCTTTGTCCATCATAAGCCACATATCTAATAGCACATGTGACAAAGAAGTTGAAATGGAAATCAGGAAAATTCATATGTTGTGTGAAAATGCAACATTTAAAACTTAAGTGATGTAGCTAAAGTAGTATTTATGGAGAAATCTAGCCTTGAGTACTTAGGAAAGAACAACTGAAATTAACAAGCTAAATGCCAACTCAAAAGTCAGGAGCAAAGCAAGGGTAATAACGTAGTAAATATCACATATTAGTGAAATAAATTATAAAGTTACAATAGAATTAACAATACCAAAGCTGTTTTAAAAAAAAATAAAGGATTGAGAAAGTAGACAAATGTCTGACAAGATACATAATTCACTAGAAAAATTTAGCTTAGGAAACTAAAGAAATGAAAATCCAAACACATCTATAACCATTAAAGAAACTGAATCAGGGCATGTGGGTGACTCAGTCGTTAAGTGTCTGCCTTCGGCTCAGGTCATGATCCCAGGGTCCTGGGATTGAGCCCCGCATCGGGCTCCCTGCTCAATGGAGAGCCTGCTTCTCCCTCTCCCACTCCCCCTGCTTGTGTTCCCTCTCTCGCTGCCTCTCTCTCTGTCAAATAAACAAATAAAATCTTTAAAAATACATAAATTAAAATTTAAAAAAAAGAAACTGAATCAGTAAATACTTACCAAGTGACGATTTTTCCAGGAAGACTTTACCAAATATTCAAGGCACAATTAATCCCTCTTTTATAATTCATTCCAGTGAATAGAAAAATTACAGAGCAAAGTCCTCAAATGTCAAGGATGTTTTATCTTTAGAAAATATACAAATCACCTCACCAACAGAATTAAGAAGAAAAACCATATGATCATTTCAATAGCTCCTTAATATACTTTGATAAAATTCAACGTGTGTTTATCATTAAAAAAAAAAAAAGCTTCTTGGCTATTAGACTAGTAATAGAAGGGAATTTATCTAATTTGATAGACTACCTTCCAAAAACAAAATCCACAAAAAACTTGACATTTAATCATAAGGAGTTGGAGACGTTTAGTTGAAAGAGATCAAGACAAGCAAGCACACATCCACCCTTCCATTTGACACTGAAACAATGGTGGAAAAAGAAGAAACAAGCTGAGTTGTAAGCGATGTAACTGTCTCCAGTAAAGTCACTTAAGAACATCTCCAGATAGGGGTGCCCAGGTGGTGCAGTCAGTTAAGGGTCCAACTCTTGGTCTCGGCTCAGGTCTGGATCTCAGGGTCCTGTGCTCAGCGGGGAGTCTGCTTGAGATTCTCTGCCTCTCCCTCTCTCTCTGCCCTTCCCCCCGCCCACGAACACACGTGCTCTCTCTCTAAAAAAAATCCTTAAAAAAAAGAACATCCACAGATAAATAGTTAGAATACAGAGAAAGTTCTGCAAGTTTGCTACATAGAATCTCAGTATATAAATCAGTTCTGTTCCCATAGACCCACAGCAAACATGGAAAATATAATTTAGAAAAAAATAACATTAACCAAAAAAATCAATAGGTTACCTAAGTAATTTGGGCAAAAGGTATATTGGACCTCTGTAGAAAATTTTTAAAACTAAATTTAAAGATCCTAAAGAATGTCAAAATAAATTGATGTTATCTCACATTTATGTGTGGAGGGATTCAGTATATAATTTCTTGAATATGAAATATTCATTCAGAAATATCCACACTCCCCAAATTCATCCTTAAATACAATGGAGATCCAATCAAAATCTCAATTGGCTAAATGGAACTTAAGTAGATA